AGGACTGATTATTTGACTTATCTGACAAAATTGGTAAAATTTCATTATTGGTTGATATTCTTTCTAAAGTGTCTGACTCTATGTGCACATAATTGAACTGACTTTTGCTTTTAAATGACTGAGGACATTTGGGTTCGCTAACAGGGATATCATTTCACACACCAGTTGTAAAGCCTCCAGGCTAATTAGTTATGAATGTTCCAGTATATACCAGGGATTATTTTGAGGAAGACTCACAGAAAAATTCTTGACAGCTTAGGACCTCAGCTATTCAGATTTAAATTATTTGAGATTTTATTATATATTCTATATGAAACTAAGCATGCATATGCCCAGCCCTAACCTTTCCATTGAACTCCAGACTTAAATAACCTATGGCTTATGTGACACCTTAACTTGGATACTAATGCATACCTCAATCTCAACCCTACAGAGTTTTTTTGCCCCCCCCCCTGCCCCAGTTACTCTCATAGTCTCTCCTATTTTACTAAATACCTCCTCCTATTATATGCCTGTTTTAGGCTCCTGGAAATACAGCTGTGATCTTCATGAAGCTAACATTCTAGAGGGAGATAGTGAAAAGAGCAACAGATAATCATAAGCGCCAGGGAGTAAAACAAGCAAAGAACTGGAGTAGGTAGTGTTATGGTGGGAAAGGGATTACAGTTTCAGAATGTCGTCAAAGAAGATCTCACTGAGAAGGCGACATTCAAGTAAAGACCTGAAGGTGAGGAATGAGCAATGCAGGTATAGGAGGAAGAGCACTACACAAGGATCGGCAAGTGCAAAGACCTTACATGCCAGGAATGTTTAAGGAAAAGCAAGGTCAGTGATGCTGGGACAGAGTGAGCCAGAAAAAGAAATAGACGATAAGGTTAAAGAGGTAACAGGTGACTGGTGTAATATCCAGAAGATGTAGGGCTCTGCAAGCCATTGCTATTTCTTTGGTTGTTATCCCAGACGATATGGGAAGTACTTGTTATCTGAAATTACCTTGTTTATGTCTTTACTCTTTGGTGCCCAGCCCCAAGTTACAATGTCAATTCTGAGATCAAATGCTTTGTCAAGGTTGTTTACACATGGGATGTAGCACAAAGGGGATGCTCAGTAAATCTTTGAATGAATGAATTAATTAATAAATGATTGAATAGGACAGCTGCAATA